ACCATATAATTATGATATATATATAATAATATACTATATATTAATATCGTAATTATTATCGACATATTCATTATATATTATACATATTATATTAATATTATAATATTATATAGAATATTATCATATATATATAAATAATAAAATCGATATATAATATATATTATATATATATATTTTATATATATATATAAACCATTGAACCCATGAACCCATACCATACCCCATAAACATTATATATTATAACTATATTGAATTTAATATATATATAATTATATATTTATATAATATTAAAATATATGATAGCCATAGTAACCCATGAAACATACCAAACCCCCATAGCATACAATAAATTTTAGTTAAAACCACTCATTGAATTTATTCTAAGAAATTCTTTTTCATGCTCTTAGATTCACGTGCTTTTTATTTTATTTTTTTTACTTTCTGTAAATTTCCCGTGTAGTGTTCTTTTGTAGTCTTCACTTCCCTCCCTCTTAATTGGCATTTTGTTAATAGAAAATTAGTAAAAGCCAAATTTATCTACTTTGGTATCTGATGCTTTGGCACTCAGTACAAAATTATTCCATGCACACTCAGGCTTCGACTTCACAACGTGTAATCTTCTTGTTGCAATTGAGCAACAGTCGCCAAATATTGCTGGTGGCGTTCATGTAGACAGAGCTGAGGAAGATGTTGGTGCTGGTGATCAGGTATTGCAGAAAAAATTTCACTCGGAATGCACCGGCTTTTTGGGGGTGGTTTCAGCGGTGCTCCTTCCGACTTTAGTTGAAATGGCATTTCTCGGAATAAATGAACCAAATTGGGTTTTTGGCTGGTAGCAGTTGATGTGAAATCGACGTGCCAAAGGCATAAAAAAACGAAAACAATTTGGATCCCTTTATCCCTATGCATGTTTAGTTGGTATGGTTCTTTAGTAGTACTTGGTAAGGTGTAATAATTGTTGGTGCATGTCGTATTAAATGTTTATGGTTTTGAATTTTCAGGGTACCACAGAACAGTTTGTATAAAGTGGCCAAAGTCTTGTTCAGTATGAATTTAATTTGGAGCCATAGAATTTATTTTTTAAAAATTTATTAAACGGTTGACCTTTCACTTGGTTTATACAATAATTAAGAATATCTTGATCACTAATGAAGTATTTTAAATTGATATTGTCAAATACTGAACATGATAGGGCTACCACATGTTTTACAACAATTTTTGGGACATTCTAATGACTTCTTAGCAAGACCACTTACGCTTGTAAGAAAGCTTTTTAATATATATGCAAACGCTAATTTAAGTTAATAAAATATTCCATTATGCATTATTATAAGAAGTGGCCTAAATTAGCTGTTTTGCTATTGTTGTAATAGTTATATGAAAATTGTATATTCATCTCTTCCCATTTGTGATGTCATGAAATGTTTTCGAAGAATATCGTAAGGAATATTTTAGTTTGATTTAAATATTGTCGGTAAGAATGCCTCGGAAGTAAATAGAACATGACGTAATTCAGAATGAACTGGGGAGTTTAAATAATTATAGCAGAAGTTATTGTACAATGTTGATTAAAAGTAAACTACAAAGAAACCCTTGAAGATTGAAGATTTAGAATGTTCCTTTTTTGTAGTATTTGACACTTTGGATTTTACCATTTTAATCTAATTTCTCACATCCTTGGGTCTTTGCCTCGCAGGCTTTGACTACAAGACATGCAATGTGCTCTTGGCCCTGGAGCAACAGTGTGTGGAAATTGCTAATGGGGTGCACGTTGGGCGCAGCGACGACGATATAGGGGCGGGAGATCAGGTGAAGAGTCCATATTGAGTTTGTAAGTTATAAGACTGAGCTTGGGGGATGCATTTTTGATGCTAGTCCTTTAAACTAGTTAGTATAATAATAGTAATAAACATGCATATAATTTTCTTTATTGCATGAGCTGTGTTGTCACTTTTTTTTTTTTTTCCTTGCATGAGGACTTGAATTTCCGTACTAGCTCCCCCTAAGTATCACGTCCTATAACTTATGAATTTGCTTGTGTTATTGATCTTTTTATTTTTGGTTTGGCACTAAGTGGAGTTCCCCCCCACCCCTCACAGTTTGTAACCCAATAACTAAAGAACCAATTGTAAAGGAACTCGTAGAACAGGTAATGAAGCCTATTTAGTATTGTCTTGGGTAAGTCTTGAACTTTGGACCAAAACCTTTGTAGCCCTCATTTATTCCAGTGTAAGCTAGCTTTATTTTTATTTATTTTTTTATTATTATTCTCTCCCTCCCCCTCCTATTGGGGACTAAATTGGGCATAAATTTGAAAGACTATGTAAATTAGGAATGTGCATTATTTCTATCCAAGATCCCCCCCTCCCCTCCCCCAATTAAAAATTGGAAAATCTGTAAATCTATGACAAGTTAATCGCATTACTTTAGGTTTTGCCGTGTTGGTTATTTCCTCTAAATCCTTTACTGTACATTATAGCCCCACCAAGTTCCTCTACTTGGCAGTAATGGGAAATCATGGTTAGTGCGTACAGTAAAATGTAAAACCCAAGGAGTGTCTACAGGTAACTAATGGTAATTAAAAACGGTTTGAATTGAACATGGCTTAGATTAATGACTTTTTGCTTTTGCTTTCACTGACAAATTCTACTGGATAAATTGACTGAAAACTTGCACTTTTAGCATAAAACGGTTGATGTTTGGGAATTTGCTTACCTGATGAAACACGAATTTGTGCAGTTATAAAAAAGAGAAGTACAATAGATTTTGGGAATTAAGTCTAATCCCCCTTTTTATATATTCTTGCTCGCTCCCCCCCTCCCCCTTCTACTCTCCCCACATGGTCCTTTTTCGAGATTAATCCATTGACACTGTCACCAAAAAGTGCCTTAATTTTTATACAAGTTTTGAAATGACCTTGTTGCCTTCTGTCTTTGCACGAGTGCTATATAAATCATTTGAAAAGTAAATGGTGGCTAATTTTGTCATTCCTGTAGCTTTAAAACTGCACAGTGTTGTAGTTGTAAATCTTGTATTGCAGTTGATGTATGAACTTGCAGAATTTTATATTTAATCAAAATGATTAGAACATATTTATAGATTATGTTGGGGCTGCATATAATGAAGAAATAAGTAATTTGAAATGAAAATAAACCCTTAACGTAGAATATGACCTTAAAATCAAGACCTGTTTAGATTTTGGAGATCAACATTGTTTATTGGCAAAATCGGCTTGGCCTTATATTGGATTCGTGGCAACTGTTTTAAGAATTACCTGGTGACTTTTCATTGCAAAAAATATTAGATTTGTATCTAAACTTCACTAACTTCCGTTGATCTAATGGAAATGAATAGCATTGTATTCATTTTCACAGTAACAGCTTTTTCCTTCCCATCCCCCCCCCCCCCCCAAGTTGTAGTCAAGGTATCATGCACAAGACCTTGTAAGATCTTTTATGAGTATTTTAAGTCTTGATGGCACTTCATAGACATCTTTTTTCTTTAAGCCTGTTAATAATGCTTTTGATTAACAGGAAATGGAATGTTGGGTAGATTATTGGATTTCTGTAACCGTTGCTTTTTTAAGTATTTATACAAAGTTTGGTTTATGAGTGTGGAAGTTTTGAGTATTTTAGGTTTCATTTGTCCATATTTATTTGTTATTTGTTTGGAGTAGTTTTGTCCCAGACTGTAAAGATCATATTATAAGAATCAGATTTAATAGAGCTATCATTTGACATTGATTCATTTGCTGTTCCTCCTCCCACCCCTTTCCTTTTCACCCAAGTAAGTTAATACAATTTTTTCATCTAGGGTCTTATGTTTGGATATGCTACGGATGAAACTGAAGAATGCATGCCATTGACTGTTGTCTTGGCTCACCGTCTCAATCAGAAGATTGCAGAATTGCGCAGAGATGGCACTTTCTGGTGGGCCCGCCCAGATACAAAGACACAGATTACAGCAGAGTACTACTTTGAGTAAGTTGTGGTTAAATTATTTCATAGGGTTCATTTTGTATAATTATCGTGAAATTGTGTGGTACTAGGTGAATTTTAATAATGCCTGCAACTTGCCATGAAAGCATATTAAAATGAAACCTTGCATTACAGCCAGGGTGCTGCCATTCCCCTGCGTGTGCACACAGTGGTTGTCTCTGCCCAACACTCTGAGAAGGTAACCTTGGACCAGCTGAGAGCTGACATTATGGAGAAGGCTATCAAGTCTGTCATCCCAGAACAGTACCTTGATGAAAACACCAAATACCACATCAACCCTTGTGGAGACTTCATCATTGGAGGACCTCAGGGTGATGCAGGTCTCACAGGCAGGAAGATCATTGTTGACACGTATGGTGGTTGGGGAGCTCATGGAGGCGGTGCTTTCTCTGGCAAGGACTACACGAAGGTGGATCGCTCTGCTGCCTACGCTGCTCGATGGGTTGCAAAGTCTCTGGTGAAGGGGGGACTCTGCAAGAGGTGTCTTGTTCAAGTGAGTATGGTTTTGGCTTTTTAGTTTTCGGTTAGTTGTATAAATATTTACAAAGGTGGTAGTATGAAGCTCAAATCAGAAATTTTAATGAATCCATAGCATTTGTTAATTTTGTGTAAAAAAAAAAAAAAAAAAAAAATTGGTCCACTATACCTGGAAAAAGCTTTAATTTACTTCATTTCTTTGCAGGTATCCTATGCAATTGGAGTAGCTGAGCCAATCAGCATCAGCATCTTCCATTACGGCACATCACAGTACACGTCAAAACAGCTGCTAGAAATTGTCAACCAGAACTTCGACTTGAGGCCAGGCCGTATTGTAAAGGAATTGGGCTTGAAGCGCCCAATCTATAGGGACACTTCTTGTTATGGACACCCAGTTCCCATGGGAGAAACCCAAAGCAATGACCCTTCCAAAGCTTTAAGTAAATCTTGTCTCCTCCCAAAGAAAAAGATAGGGATGTAAGTGGCTTCCTCATAATATGAGAAAATAACTGCTTAAATCTGGAGGAGCCACACTTATAGAAATTTAGTTGACCAGTTAGTGTAGTGCAAAATATTTAATCTTTTTAAATTGCATTTGTTGGAGTTTGTGATAGCACATCCTTGTGTCAGGCAGGCACTCGGGCACTGTGTATGTGCGACCTGGTGATCGTAGGTGCTAGGCCAGGGGGTGCCTGGTGTCACCCCCGGTCTGGCCTGCCCCTAACCTCGAGGACCCCTGCAAGATGACCACAGTTTCAAGTTGGTACAGATGATGGATCTGTTTTGCTATGTAAACATCCTTTGTTTGTGCCAGACTTGACACTGCAAATGTGTAGGATTAGCAAGATTTTCCTCTAGAGTTTTTTATACAAGATCTACGCATTTGTGTTGTGTTTACGAAAATTCTAATGGAAAAGAGCATTTCCTTAAACACTCCGGCCACCTTTCTGGGATGGGGCATCACTTGCTGACACATTCCTCGAGACTTGAGAGTTAGGGTCTTTTTAGGTTTTATCCTTTTATTTAGATTTAGTAGCTTATTGAAGATGTATGTCTACATTGTATTTGTTATGATTAAGCCGATTCTATACACGCAGAATGTATACTATTCGGCTGATTAAAAAGTTATTCGTGTAATCTTATCATTTTATTATCTTTTGAGTATGTAATGATAAAAGTTTTAATGTAATTTTATTTTATCAATTGCTTGGTTGAATTGGGACAGTGCAAATCCTTATTATTTAAAATAATATTGTGCAATATGATTACTGAATATGTGACTTCCTTAGTTTCAAGCCTCATGATTTCAAGATTTGAAAATCATGAATCTTAACTTTTATCATTTTCTTCCAAGCTTGGAAATAAAATTCTTTATTCCTGCTTTACTGAAACCATAGTAAGTTGCAGAATTGATTAACTTCTTTGGTAAGACTTCATCAAGGCAACATATCCCAAACATATGTTAAAAACATTATTTTGCTCTTTTTTAATTCATATTAGTGCTGAAACTAATTGTATTTGTTAATAGGTTGTCAGTTCTTTACATTTTGAGCTGCATAACCTTCAACACCTGTAGAGGTTGTAGAATTATACAAAGTTTGAATCTTGTATATTGGAAAAATGCAAGTGAACAATTTGATTGTTCTTGGATAGAATATTGAAAAGTTTAAGTATTGAAGTTTCAACACTTAAAGAACCGGATATATGTATGGGCTTCATTCAAAGATGTTTGTCTCAATCTAGTAGAGACTAGAGTTTTGGTACAAATGTCCATGAGAAGGGATTATTAAATTTATTCAAATGCTTACTTAACTTGCATAAAAGAAATGCAGTCTCGGAAAACTAGAATAAACGTTAATTAAATAACCAGAGTTTCTTTTTGCCAGGGAAGCGATGCAAAGTAGTAGATTTTTCATCTGAAGAAGAAAAAAATGTATAACCTTAATATCATAAAATATTGTTTCAGCAACGTTGAGATTACATGGTAGAAGGTAGATCAAGACTAACAGCAGTGTCATGCGGTTTTCTACAACTGCATGTAATGGGTTATACTCCCCCTCCCCTCCCATCCAACTGGACAGGGCCCTAGGAAACCTTTAGGAAAGGACAGGGGCATCACAATTCTAGGGATCACTCCTGCCTAGAACCTCTTCTCCTCCAACCCTCTTACTAAAATTTTCCTTAATCCATCTCTTCACCCCCTTCCTCTGTCCACATTCTAAACTATTGTCATGTGTAAACTATTTGATGTTTTATTGCACTTCCAATCCGTTTACATTTTACCTGTAACGGATGGAAAATTTAAGCAAAACCTACCAATTACATCTACATTAACTTTTAATGTCTATTTTAAACCTTAGTAAAAATATTAATTCTCATATGATCTTTCTCCAGTAACATCGCATAATAATGACTCGACATGGCATGTTATATATATTTATATCATATCAAAGAAATTAAGTACTGGAAGTATTATACAGTAGTAATGCGGATGGCCTAACAGCACGGTAAGAGAATTTTAAAAGTTAGAGGACGAGTTAAGAAATTATTTATACAAATCTTCACTATATAATTTTTTTTCAAGTCTCCGAAATGTTACCAGTACAAGAGCAACTTTCATAATGTTCAGTTGGTGAGGCCTGTTCATACGAATGCAGTTTGAACTATAAAATGTGAGAATGTATACGAATGGTAAATTTCAGACGAACATTTTATATAAATTCACACTTATATTAATATATTTTACAAAATGCGGCAATGCACTACTTGGCATGCAAGCTCGGGATACTTATAATCTGATGTTTTAAAGTGTACAATTGTTTACGAAAAAAATCGTGGATTTTGTCACGAACGAACTGCAATTTTGTAGCCAATTCAGTTATTCCATTATTTTCTTTATTTCTCTTTCTTGTCTTTTTTTCCTTCTTTCGTTTTATCTTTACTGATGCTGGTAGGAAAAGTATAATGTAGAAATTAAAGAATATACAAGAAGTCGTTCCATTTAAACTGATTATATTACATACTTAATGTTTTGAACGACAGAAGGTCAAGGTAAAATTGTACAATGTTATATAGGATGGGATAGAGAGCAAGATGTGTTGGTATGTAAGAAATAATGTTTTCCTTCATTAACTCAAGGTTGTTCAGTGTTTCAGTATTGTATCATTACTTCTTTGCATATTGCATTTTTAGACTATACTTGCCTAATTACAGAAATAGGACGTGGTAGAATTATAACAAAGGTTGGTTACATTAAAATTATGAGCAATATCCATTATTTTGCAAATTGAACATGGTTAACAACAGACATCCCACAGCATAAGCGAAGTCCAGAGACTGAGAATCTTTTAATTTTGCTTTCTGCAATTGCGCAGTAACCTCTGTAAAGTTGCAGGCGACAGTACCCAACAAGAACCACATTTTCTTGACTTGCTCTAGCAACACAGTGACGGGTTAACTATACAAAGAAGGCGGCAACTTGCGAGTGTAAAAACTAGTTCCGTTCGCACTCCAGAAACAGCATGAATAGTTACTAGGGAATTTGTATCTTGATATGTTTCATCTTCATCTCCTGCAGAATATCCTTTGTCGCAAAATATGAGGAATTCTCTCTCTTGGATACGATGAAATTTGACGTAATGTCGCCCACGTTAATTCGATGAAGACTTAGCGTGTTCAATTTTGGGAGTCGGGTTTTATCATCAGGAAGGCTGACTCGCCCACCGGTTGCATCCGATGGATTCAGGTGTTTCAATAATACATTTCTATTTTGTTTTTATATATATGAACATTGCATATTGCAAATTTGAATTTATGAAACTTGACTTTGATGTCACGCGTGCGTATAACACAAGCACGCACACGTGCTCATACATGCACACACACTAGGAATATAACAAAGACCTTGCACACACTAACACGCAGTCGCTCTCATATGCACGACACACACGAACATACACACACGTTTGTTTGCGTGTATGCATGTAGGATTATCATACACTGTATATTTACAAATTTAGCCACCAGAATACATACGAAACAGCCTGGCAGAAGGTCGTAACTGAATCAGAACGAGGGTCAAACTTGGGACAGGATATTTCATTACCGCAAATGGTGCTGGACAGCTGGGTATTTCACAGCGGACAGCAGATGCGGGCGCCTGACCTGCATGATAATGAATGCTGCTACTCCGATGCCATCTCCCTCGGCATTCTTCTCTTCCATAAGCATAGATTCATACGTCACAGCCAAACAAAGAAGTTCATTCCTAGGGGTAAAAGACGCGGTTACATTACCTGTACACAAAATGTGCGTTTATATACATGGCTATAAAACATCCATTTAAGTATAAAGTATTTGCACACACTGATACAAAGATGTAGAATATACATTAAGCCAATCCATGCATAAATAGAACACAGAATGAACATTCATTTATTCCACACATACAAAAAGTGGGGCACACCTACCCAAAGGCACAAAAGTTGAGATAAAACCTTTTTATATGCCATTTATTGACTCGCTTTCTTTTGTTACCTATCATTCAGACAGCCAGATAATCATCTTATTTTATTTATATTCTACTCGACTGAAACCATCATGGTGTTTCTTGCTTGTTTCATCATTATGATACCTTCCATTTAAATAAAAACATTCAGTTTATACCAAGTATCCCTTAGCTATTCAACATCAGAATAATCCATAAATAAATGAAACATAGAAATTGACATATAGAATAAATCAACCAGTAGCTTATTTTTGACAAAACAGCTGATGTATCTCGCGTCTTTTGTCGATAGTATCAACAAAGTCTTCATTTATCACTCGGAAAAAAGGAAAGTGTCAAGTATTTCCACTTTTTACTTTCACTTAACTCTACTGTTCTGCATTAGATTAAATACTGATAACGCCGGAGAAATAGATCTTTTTCTCAGTTTTTAAATCGAGAATGAATAATAAATAAAAAATATTATGAACATAAGACAAAACACACACGCGCACACACATAAACGTAACAATCTGCATATTATTATATATATAATATATATATAAAATATATATAACTATATTACTAGTTATACTATAATAGTATAATAATTAACACATCAATCCTAAAGTTAATATCTACTACTCCTACATCTAATATATCTACATACTAGATAAATTATAAAGATAAGAGTAATAATACTATTTATACTATATATATTATATATATATATATATTATATGAGTAAATACTATTATTATATAAGTATAACATATATAAATATATATATTATAATAATATAAATTAATAATTATTATTTTTGTTTTTTTGTTTATTGTTTTGGAGTTGTGTGTTGTGTTGTATATAGATGTTACATATATATGCATAATACGGCAGTCCATGCATATATATTATACTATATATCGCTATACCCTACCTAATATTAATAAATATATTATATATCATATATTCACATTATTGTGTGTGTGTGTATACAGATATTATATATTATATATATATATGTGTGTATTTTTAGTAT